ACACACTGACGCGGAGAGACACACACACACACACACACACTGCCGCTGAGAGACAGACACACACACACACACACTGCTGCTGAGAGACAGACAGCAGGGAGAGGCTGAGGAGGGAATGACTCTGCCTCCAATTATCACCTCAACCAATCAGCACTGCGCACTCAAGCATCCTCAGCCAATCACTGCAGCGTGCACCAGCAGTGTGTTTTCACTGTGCTATGGCTATGCTCAGAAGACTCGAAAAGGTCGACAGGAAGTGTTATAGATCAGGTTTCAGGTCTGTGCGTGACACTCTCACCTGCGCTGGAATATCCACGTCATGTTGATTCTCAGGAATCAGTCTGTAATAGAAACGCTGAAGAGAAAATGTCACGACCTCGTCCTAGAAACAAACCTCAGATAGTTCCCTATAAAGTTAGCAGACACGTAGAGTATCCGCTAAGAGAAGAACAGCTGCGATCAAATACAGCAGCTCCAGCCGAAGCGTTTGACGCCGGTGTATTTATCATGAAAACACACTGAAATCAAGATCAGAGCGTTTCTACACATCAGTCTAGAGCTGATCTGATTCACGCTACACAAACACTGCAGAAACTCACTTCTCTTGCTTTCCAGCACAAATAACATTCATATATCAAGATGCATTTACTTCAGAAGCAAAATGACTGAAGATATTAAGTCTTGTTTACTGAAAACAAGTTTCAGTTTCAGATTAAAACAACAAGAATATTGTTTTCTGACCCCACTGGCAGATATTTGTTCTCATTTTAAGCATAAATTAACTTCATTCAGCATCTTCAGTCATTTCACTTCTCCAGTGAATGTTTCTTGACTCATGTTTAGATATGTGTGCTGGAAAACAAGAGGAAGAAAATGATTGTTTTGTTGTTTTGCGGTTCATCGTAACATGCACACTGCTAAGCATTCGAATGCACAATAAATACAGTCAAGTTATATTAGAATGGTTTATTTTTATCAAAGATTTTCACTCTTGGTTATATTAGTAAAGGTACCATAACAAGATCAGTCCACCATCTTGGATGTGTTTGTTTTCAGTTTGGCTCGGATCTCCATGAAGGAGAAGAAGAGGAGAAACTCTCAGCACTTTCACTGCTCACCACTTGGTGGCGATGTTGTGCTGCAGCCTTACATTTAATTATTTATTACATTGATTTTCATTTATTTATTTACCTCATTCTGACTGTTATATATTTCACACAGAATAAACACTGGCGCGCGCACACACACACACACACACACACACACACACACACACACACACACACACACACACACACACACACACACACACACACACACACACCCACACACACACACACACACACACTCACACACTCTCACACACACACCCACACACACACACGCTCTCCCTCTCACACACACACACACACTCTCCCTCTCCCACACACACACTCTCCCCCTCTCACACACACACACGCACACTCACACACTCACACACACACACACACTCTCTCTTACTCACACACACACACACACACACATGCACGCTTTAGAGGAGAATTCCTCCTCTGTGTTTGTGAATGTCACAGTTACTCTATTGATTATCTGAGGTACAGCTTTGAGTAAATGTGAGGTCAGTGTATGTCTGAATCAGATCAATAATCCAGCCACCTCTGACACACACACACACACACACTCACACTCTCACACACACACACACACTCTCTCTTACTCACACACACACACACACACATGCACGCTTTAGAGGAGAATTCCTCCTCTGTGTTTGTGAATGTCACAGTTACTCTATTGATTATCTGAGGTACAGCTTTGAGTAAATGTGAGGTCAGTGTATCAGATCATCAGATCAATAATCCAGCCACCTCTGACACACACACACACACACACTCACACTCTCACACACACACACACACACACACACTCACACTCTCACACACACACACACACACTCACACACGTGTTTGTTTTTTATCATGGTGGGTCTTTACAATGACTTCTATATGCTTTTACACTGAGCTAATGTTATTTGTTATCCCATAAATCCTGCACAAATCTTTCTGCAGCTTTACGTCCTCATTAAGACGTCTAGAATTAAATGTGACTCTCAAAGACTCATACATTTGCATCTTCATGCATGAATGTATTCTCTGGTGTCTGATGGTGTGTTCAGCTCAAATCCCCTGGAAAAGCAGCCTGAGGAGGTCCGCTGGTCTTAGTTTGTTGGTTTTGAAGGAGTTTTGGGTAGCTAAACCAGCATAAAACAACAAAGCTGGTTAAGCTGTTTTTTACGAGAGTGGTTCTGAACCCAAGCATCCCTCGTTTGTTCTCTGAGGAGAATAAAGACTCGAGTGTGTAATTGAATTCAGTGGCGGACAAAAGATTTTCCCTTTTGTTTCCTCTCTGGATTCACACTATCAGCCAATAGCAATAGGCATTATTACAGCGGACACGCCCTCGTGCCACAGCAGCCAATTACAATCGCTCTTATTACGGGTGACAAGACATTCGTTCCAATTACAATTACCAGAGCAGAGACAGAACGAGCGAGGAACGTAAGTGAAATCGATCGCATCTCCGCACCGCTATCTGCTACTGCCAATTACAGGAGCTGTATTGAACCATTCTTCACTTTTATTCAATCTGTGTGTGTGTGTTTGTGTGTTTGTGTGTGTGTGTGTGTGTGTGTGTGAGTGAGTCGTGTAGAAAGAAATGAAGAATGCAAGGGTTTATACATACATTGAAATCGATCGCATCTCCGCACCGCTATCTGCTACTGCCAATTACAGGAGCTGTATTGAACCATTCTTCACTTTCTGTGTGTCTGTGTGTGTGTGTTTGTGTGTTTGTGTGTGTGTGTGTGTGTGTGTGTGTGTGTGTGTGTGTGTTTGTGTGTGTGTGTGTGTGTGTGAGTGAGTGAGTCGTGTAGAAAGAAATGAAGAATGCAAGGGTTTCTTCAGCTATACATACATTTATGTCCCAGCGGTTGATTATAATTAATTTCATATTTAGGTCAATCTAAATATGTTTTTCCTTCAGATTTTTTTTTTTACTCATTTTCAGATGTCTTTTAGATTTTGTTTTACTCATTCCAAACCCACACTTTAGAACCCATCAATAAAATATGATTATTATGAATTATGCATTTTATCTAATCTATAATGATCTGCACAACAAGTGAAATAAGCATCAACCATTTCAATATTTATTATACAAAAAGAAATATTACTTTTTTTTGTCTTTTTTATCTATAAAGCACCAACAAAACAACCAAAATTGACCAAAGTGCTTTACACATATACCGGAAATAAAACCACATTCATCATAACACACTACGTGACAAAAGTTCAAATTATAGACAATAAATATTTATATCAAATATAAAAATAGCAGAATAGCAATTTCCATCACAACCAACAATTCTGGCCTATTAGAGATTTATTTTTCTAAAGCTAGTTTACGAGAGGTGTCAGTGAGGAGATAAAATATAAAGAAAAATCAAGGTAAATATCACTATTTTTATTGTGTGCTACTTCCAATCCAGCTGTAATTTGGTGCAAATATGCAGAAAATGTGAAAATATGATTTTAAGATTGTATTTAGGACACATCAAATGCTAACTGGAAGATATGCAGTTTAGAATGACAAAAGTGGGCATAGCTGAAGAATCGCCTATATCTGTACAGTATGAGAAGCTCGTTTGTGTTTCTGAACATTCATTGTGTGTGTGTGTGTGTGTGTGTGTGTGTGTGAGTGTGAGTGTGTGTGTGTGTGTGAATGGAACGTCTCTCGGAGTCTTCAGAGTAGATTGCGTTTGCTCTGTCAGTTTGTGCTCATAATGAATCTCCTTTAATAAATGATGCCGAACACATCTCATTGTGTTGCATACGGTTCACGAGTGCTTGGGTTCGTGTTCTGTGAGCATTTCTCCATATTGTGTTCAGCGTTCTGCGCTGTTATTGGGTCTATTAATACCCATTTTTGTTCTTTTTCAATGAGGACATGTAAAGTCAATCAGGTCCGATCATAAAATCCTTGATTTCAGCCTGTAGAACCAGACCGGCGCTCTCGTCCCCTAAGGGCTGCCGACTTCATTAGGTTGGAGTCAATTTCAGACGGACAATGCTTCTCTGAACAGAACATTAAGTTAAGGTGCACATAATCTTCAGATGAAGCAGGAGGCATGGGTCTGCATCGGTCTGGATCAGGTCTAACAAGAAAACACACATCGCTGCTCCCAGACCTGTCAGGAATCACACGGCAGCTGTCGGGAAGCACTGGGGATTATGGGCCGTCGTTTAAACAACGTTTCCAGCCAATGATGTGCGATCAAGCCCTTCCACAGTGATTCCCAACATTCAGTGCATCTGTTAGAGATCAATATGCACAGCAATGTCTTTAAAGAAGCGAGCGCTCAGTCTTACCTGTCGCAGGTTTCGCGTGACTTTAACATCGTGCCAAGCGTTGTCGTTAAACTTCCCGTTCACCGGTTCCACGAGCGCCTCGAAGGCGCCGGAGCCCAGGTTGATGACGAGCCAGACGGCGCCGCTCTTCAGCGACAGGTTGACGTAGTCTGCAGATTTCCCGGTGTGAAGCATCAGACCGTTGCGCTGGAGCGTTCGGAAGGACAGCGTGATCTCATCCGTGCTGCTCTGGATGGGAGTCATGGACAGATCGTAGCAGAAGAACTCGGTTCCCTTGAAGGTGGCCACCGATTCCTCTTTCCCTGCAGAGAGAGAGAGAAAGAACATGAGCATTTCCACCAAATGATGGTGCATCTACATGACGTCCATCCATTTATTCTAAGAGAGTCAATCAATTTAAAGCATTTTAGTGTGTGTGTGTGTGTGTGTGTGTGTGTGTGTGTGTGTGTGAGTGTGAGTGTGTGTGTGTGTGTGAATGGAACGTCTCTCGGAGTCTTCAGAGTAGATTGCGTTTGCTCTGTCAGTTTGTGCTCATAATGAATCTCCTTTAATAAATGATGCCGAACACATCTCATTGTGTTGCATACGGTTCACGAGTGCTTGGGTTCGTGTTCTGTGAGCATTTCTCCATATTGTGTTCAGCGTTCTGCGCTGTTATTGGGTCTATTAATACCCATTTTTGTTCTTTTTCAATGAGGACATGTAAAGTCAATCAGGTCCGATCATAAAATCCTTGATTTCAGCCTGTAGAACCAGACCGGCGCTCTCGTCCCCTAAGGGCTGCCGACTTCATTAGGTTGGAGTCAATTTCAGACGGACAATGCTTCTCTGAACAGAACATTAAGTTAAGGTGCACATAATGAAGTCCTGAAGCAGGAGGCATGGGTCTGCATCGGTCTGGATCAGGTCTAACAAGAAAACACACATCGCTGCTCCCAGACCTGTCAGGAATCACACGGCAGCTGTCGGGAAGCACTGGGGATTATGGGCCGTCGTTTAAACAACGTTTCCAGCCAATGATGTGCGATCAAGCCCTTCCACAGTGATTCCCAACATTCAGTGCATCTGTTAGAGATCAATATGCACAGCAATGTCTTTAAAGAAGCGAGCGCTCAGTCTTACCTGTCGCAGGTTTCGCGTGACTTTAACATCGTGCCAAGCGTTGTCGTTAAACTTCCCGTTCACCGGTTCCACGAGCGCCTCGAAGGCGCCGGAGCCCAGGTTGATGACGAGCCAGACGGCGCCGCTCTTCAGCGACAGGTTGACGTAGTCTGCAGATTTCCCGGTGTGAAGCATCAGACCGTTGCGCTGGAGCGTTCGGAAGGACAGCGTGATCTCATCCGTGCTGCTCTGGATGGGAGTCATGGACAGATCGTAGCAGAAGAACTCGGTTCCCTTGAAGGTGGCCACCGATTCCTCTTTCCCTGCAGAGAGAGAGAGAAAGAACATGAGCATTTCCACCAAATGATGGTGCATCTACATGACGTCCATCCATTTATTCTAAGAGAGTCAATCAATTTAAAGCATTTTAACTCCCACATTGCTTTGTGGATTCAATGCAACTCATACGCACAATGTAGCTTGATTTTTATTAGCTTTGCATGCATTTGTTCTAACCGTGTTGAATACTTGTGAGAGTAAGTCTCAGAGCGAAACTCTTATTCCCAACCGCACCGACCGCAGACGTTCTCTCGGGAAACACGCAGCTAAACTGTTTTTCTTTATGTTTCCGCTGCTGTATTTTCATGACTCGAGCATTCTGAAGATGATATATCAGGATATGTCGTGTTTCTCTTCGGGAAGACGGGATTGCCGTATTCATGAGTGCTCTTTGCCAATGTAACAATCCTCATGAGAAGAGCAGATGAACTGAAGTCTGCAGCAAAAAGCCCAGAGTAACTGCATGTACATTTACTCATTTGCAGAAGCTTTCATCCGAAGTGACTTACATTACACTTTCCCGCAGGTTCGTTCCTCCCGGAGAAACCCGAGGTCAAGCGCTGCGCTCAAGGGCACAAAACAGTGATCAGAAGAATTTAAAGAGTTCAAACCTACAACCTTTTGGAAGTCAGCCCAGATCTTTAACCACTAAACCACAGCAGCGCATTAATGTTTTAATGTTTGGCTTAATTCAGGTTCAGATGCTGCAGCTCTTCTGAGCTTTCATGTAAAAGCTTCCTGGATTGTGTTGTCAGCCACTGATTCTGAGAATCGTGCAAATATTTTAATGCTTTAGTGATTTGTTTCAGTTTTCTTAATTAATTTGCCCTGGAGTGTTTCCTTAAGATGTAGAGCGCATCTAAACTATACACACACACACCCACACACACACACACACACACGCACAAATCCGTCCTTACCAAAATAAATAAATAAAAATGTTAGAAATACAGATAATGCCTGAAGCAATTTCAACTCACTCTCTCTCTCTCACACACACACATACACACACACACACACATACACACACACACACACACACACACACACACACATGAATAATACCAATAAAACTGGAAACATTATAAAAACAGCAATTACAGAGTCTGTGGTGTTTTGTATGTTGTTTGTTCTGGACGCAGCTGAACTACAGATGCTTTGAAAAATAAATAAATATATGATTATGTCTATTGTCAATAAAACACATCTGACTGAAGCTCAATGTGAATGTGCTGTAAACATCAGTGTTTGTGAGAAATACATACTGTAGCCTACAGTTACTTTATTTTTATATATACTGCTGTGTTTTCATTCATTTTTTTTTCCAGTTTCAAAGATTTTTTATTCATTTTAAATGTATATTTTAATTAGTTCCTTTAAACCTTACGTCATAAGTTAGTCATCGTGGAGAAAGACCAGCAGCTCTAGCTTGGTTTCAGTCTGAAGTTGAACGCTGAACAGCACGAGTAACCAATAAATAAAGAAGAGACCGGGTTCCAGCAGTCTAAAGAAGAACTGACCAATCATGATTTGGTATGCAAATGAACGTAAGAGAGGCGACCAATCAGATGGCAGGATGATCGGAAACAGTTAGTTTTGTGTGGTGCTGAAGGCCAGGATCAGTCTGGATCCGTGTGTAGTCGGTCTCTCTCCCGCTGCACCTTCACTGGCCTGTGAGCTTTAATACAGGCTGATCCCGGCGCTCCTGAGTCTGTCTGATGTCAGTGTCGCTCTAAAGCTCTTCCTGTGTGCTCCAGGGCTTCGACCTCTGTTAGTCTAACTCTTTACAGCCCACAGATGACCTTCGTGCTGTCTGTCTGTCTGCAGACGCGCACGCTGTGAACTATTATTCAGAACTGATCTGAACAGCACGAGTAACCAATAAATAAAGAAGAGACCGGGTTCCAGCAGTCTAAAGAAGAACTGACCAATCATGATTTGGTATGCAAATGAACGTAAGAGAGGCGACCAATCAGATGGCAGGATGATCGGAAACAGTCAGTTTTGTGTGGTGCTGAAGGCCAGGATCAGTCTGGATCCGTGTGTAGTCGGTCTCTCTCCCGCTGCACCTTCACTGGCCTGTGAGCTTTAATACAGGCTGATCCCGGCGCTCCAGAGTCTGTCTGATGTCAGTGTCGCTCTAAAGCTCTTCCTGTGTGCTCCAGGGCTTCGACCTCTGTTAGTCTAACTCTTTACAGCCCACAGATGACCTTCGTGCTGTCTGTCTGTCTGCAGACGCGCACGCTGTGAACTATTATTCAGAACTGATCTGAAAATAGGAAACTTCTTTCAGTAGTTTTCTTTTTACCGTTTAGAATAGTACTGGAGTAAAAGTCTTAAAGTATGTGATATTTACTGTACTTAAGTGCGAAAAGTATTTTTTAAAATCTTAAACGTACTTAAGTATTGAAAGTAAAAGTACAAGTAAGTGCAAAATGGAAAAGAAGCAAATAAATATATATATAAATGCACATGCACAGCTTGAGTAGCAAGATTGTGTTCAGTTTTAACTCTTTCTTCCATTTTGCATTTGTGGGTAAGAATAAGAAGCACTTCATCCGGTACTCATAGTGTCTTTCATTCCAACATAAGAAAACATTTCTGGAATCTGCATCTGAAATAGCATTTAGATGTATTTACACAGTTTGTGTATCTCAGAGGGACCTGGATGCATTTAACCTGCAGTTACAGATGCATAAATAGGCCTAATGTTTTGTTTTTAACATAAAACGTTGAATACTGATATTTGAAATAATTTAAAACATGAAAAAATAGTCGAAATGTGAAATTAAAACCGCCAGTAGGTGGCAGCAAGTGACTGTTATTGAGTGAGTCATTGAGATTCAACAGATTCATTCAAACGGCTGATTCATTCAGGAACCAAGCATTCGACTGTTAATGAGTGAATCACTGAATCATTTATTCAACCGATTCATTCAAACGTCTGATTCATTCAGGAACCAAGCATTCGACTGTTAATGAGTGAATCACTGAATCATTTATTCAACCGATTCATTCAAACGTCTGATTCATTCAGGAACCAAGCATTCGACTGTTAATGAGTGAATCACTGAATCATTTATTCAACCGATTCGTTCAAAAAGCTGATTCATTCAATAAGTAAACGCCGTCCATTGCTCAGAGACGCAAAACAGTGCTGTGATCTTTGTTTGAACTATTTTCATTAGCAAAATTGAGCAAAAACAAGCAATATTATGTCTAAAATGTAAGTCACTTATTGCTTTACTGAACTTGTATAAAATGATTATTAAATGTGTTCATGCTAATATCTGCAGAAAAACGGTACTCTTTGCGTGATATAGATTAAGTTAACTATATTAAATTATATAAATATAAAAAGCATACAGAAGCATTTTTGCCATCTACAATTTAGAATACCTGGAGTTTTAATAGACTAATAAATCAATGTGCGTGCACTCTGTGTGTGATCTGGTGAAATAGCCTACTGGATAATGTCAGATCGCACATCATTACGACACTTACCATATCATCGCAGAAGATATACTGTATATCGCACACCCCAGACTCGACTTGAGAGGAAAATTAATCACCCGCGGTTGTGCGCGCGCTTGTTTACACAGGAGCAAAGGTGTTGTTTTAGGAATGTAACTTGCAGACGCCAGACCACTGATTCGTGAAACCTGCTGTTCTGCAGTCCGTGTTCTTCTGACTTCGGACTATTTTGTAGTAAGTAACGAATATGCTTCGGGGAAATGTAGTGGAGTAAAAGTTGCCTGAAATATAAAAACTCAAGTAAAGTCTGCAGTGAACACTGGGGTCAGATCATCTTATGATGATTATCAGAGGGTACAAATGTTAAATCTGAATCTCTGATTCTTCTGACACACACACACACACACAAGCCTACTGGATAATGTCAGATCGCACATCATTACGACACTTACCATATCATCGCAGAAGATATACTGTATATCGCACACCCCAGACTCGACTTGAGAGGAAAATTAATCACCCGCGGTTGTGCGCGCGCTTGTTTACACAGGAGCAAAGGTGTTGTTTTAGGAATGTAACTTGCAGACGCCAGACCACTGATTCGTGAAACCTGCTGTTCTGCAGTCCGTGTTCTTCTGACTTCGGACTATTTTGTAGTAAGTAACGAATATGCTTCGGGGAAATGTAGTGGAGTAAAAGTTGCCTGAAATATAAAAACTCAAGTAAAGTCTGCAGTGAACACTGGGGTCAGATCATCTTATGATGATTATCAGAGGGTACAAATGTTAAATCTGAATCTCTGATTCTTCCGACACTCACACACACACACACACACTCACACACACAAATCAATGCCATCGACTCACTGAAACCCCTCAGGCAGAGGCAGACGGGGAAGGGACCGGCACTCTAAACAGGCTAATGTGATTGGCTGGAGTGTTGAAGATTCAGCAGTGTGATTGGATGACGGCTGTGTCATTATTGTGAGTGATATCCGATCTATGGCGGTTAATTACAGCAAAATCATTACTGCAGTGATGATGTCATGCTCAACTGAAGCACACGAGCACAGCTTTCACTCTATAATTGTGATCCTGCAACAATAAATAACAATCTGACATGCAACACTATCAAACTGTGTTCAAATTAACTTACTGACGTCCTTATTTTTAATCCAGTTTTGTTGTTTAAATGCCAGAACGTTTGTCAGTCTGACCAAATCATAAGTGAAGACAGAGATTTTCCGATCACTGTATCATTCATCATCCACACACACACACACACACACACACACACACACTCTCTCTCTCTCTCACTCACACACAGTCTCTCTCTCTCTCTCACTCACACACACTCTCTCTCTCTCTCACTCACACACAGTCTCTCTCTCTCTCTCACTCACACACACTCTCTCTCTCTCTCACTCACACACAGTCTCTCTCTCTCTCTCACTCACACACACTCTCTCTCTCTCTCACTCACACACAGTCTCTCTCTCTCTCTCACTCAC